GTCCTCAGGCTTGGCCGCGTCGGGGTCCTGGATCTTCGGTCTCTCGTCCCAGTCCTCCGGCTTCTGGTCGTCGGGGTCCTCGATCTCGGCGGGGGGGTTTACGGCGGGAGTGACATCACTCAGCAGACTCCCGCTGTTCACCACCGTCTGGTCGATCAGGATCTCGAAACTGTTATCCGGGTTCAGCACTGCAGGAGAGAACACACACGCACGGCCCGTAAACACACACTCCACAGAGGAGAACATTTCAGACAGAGCATTTGCTTTGGTATGAGCCGGTCTGGTTCAGTAACACACACGTGCAGTAGCATGAGCGGGTTCAGGTGTGTGTGTGTGTGTGTGTGTGCTGTTACCCAGTGTGTAGAGGTGTGTCTTCTTATCGGTGTAGTACAAGCGCAGGTCAGGCGTGTTTGTGTGTGTGTGTGTTACCCAGCGTGTAGAGGTGTGTCTTCTTGTCGGTGTAGTACGAGCGCAGGTCAGCGTCAGGTGTGTGTGTGTGTGGGCTGTTACCCAGTGTGTAGAGGTGTGTCTTCTTGTCGGTGTAGTACGAGCGCAGGTCAGCGTCAGGCTTCTTCGCGTGCTTCTCCTCAAACTCGCCGGTTTTGGGGTTCTTGTGTCTGAAGATGAAGTGCAGCTTGTAATCCTCTCCACACTTATCAGGCCCGAACATGATGGTGTACGGAGTCTTGTCCACGAACTCCGCCTGGAACGACACACACACACACACACAGCCTATGATCAGTATGGGGTCACCACTAGACACCAGATCACCCGACGCCGGACGCCAGATCACCGGACGCCAGATCACCGACGCCAGATCACCGGACGCCAGATCACCGGACGCCAGATCACCGGACGCCAGATCACCGGACGCCAGATCACCGGACGCCAGATCACCGGACGCCAGATCACCGGACGCCAGATCACCCGACGCCAGATCACCCGACGCCAGATCACCGGACGCCAGATCACCCGACGCCAGATCACCGGACGCCAGATCACCCGACGCCATATCACCGACGCCAGATCACCGGACGCCAGATCACCGGACGCCAGATCACCGACGCCAGATCACCGGACGCCAGATCACCGACGCCAGATCACCCGACGCCAGATCACCGGACGCCAGATCACCCGACGCCAGATCACCGGACACCAGATCACCCGACGCCAGATCACCGGACGCCAGATCACCGGACGCCAGATCACCGGACGCCAGATCACCGGACGCCAGATCACCCGACGCCAGATCACCCGACGCCAGATCACCCGACGCCAGATCACCGGACGCCAGATCACCGACGCCAGATCACCGGACACCAGATCACTGACACCAGATCACCCGACGCCAGATCACCCGACGCCAGATCACCGGACACCAGATCACTGACACCAGATCACCCGACGCCAGATCACCGGACGCCAGATCACCGGACGCCAGATCACCCGACGCCAGATCACCGGACGCCAGATCACCGGACGCCAGATCACCCGACGCCAGATCACCCGACGCCAGATCACCCGACGCCAGATCACCCGACGCCAGATCACCGGACGCCAGATCACCCGACGCCAGATCACCGGACACCAGATCACCCGACGCCAGATCACCGGACGCCAGATCACCGGACGCCAGATCACCCGACGCCAGATCACCCGACGCCAGATCACCCGACGCCAGATCACCGACGCCAGATCACCCGACGCCAGATCACCCGACGCCAGATCACCGGACGCCAGATCACCGGACGCCAGATCACCCGACGCCAGATCACCCGACGCCAGATCACCGGACGCCAGATCACCGGACGCCAGATCACCGGACGCCAGATCACCCGACGCCAGATCACCCGACGCCAGATCACCCGACGCCAGATCACCGACGCCAGATCACCCGACGCCAGATCACCGACGCCAGATCACCGGACACCAGATCACTGACACCAGATCACCCGACGCCAGATCACCCGACGCCAGATCACCGGACACCAGATCACCTGACGCCAGATCACCGGACACCAGATCACTGACACCAGATCACTGACACCAGATCACTGACACCAGATCACCCGACGCCAGATCACCCGACGCCAGATCACCCGACGCCAGATCACCCGACGCCAGATCACCCGACGCCAGATCACCGGACGCCAGATCACCGGACGCCAGATCACCGGACGCCAGATCACCGACGCCAGATCACCCGACGCCAGATCACCGGACACCAGATCACCGGACGCCAGATCACCGACGCCAGATCACCCGACGCCAGATCACCCGACGCCAGATCACCCGACGCCAGATCACCGACGCCAGATCACCCGACGCCAGATCACCGGACACCAGATCACTGACGCCAGATCACCCGACGCCAGATCACCCGACGCCAGATCACCGGACACCAGATCACCGGACGCCAGATCACTGACACCAGATCACCCGACGCCAGATCACCGGACGCCAGATCACCCGACGCCAGATCACCGGACGCCAGATCACCCGACGCCAGATCACTGACACCAGATCACCCGATGCCAGATCACCGGACACCAGATCACCCGACGCCAGATCACTGACACCAGATCACTGACACCAGATCACCCGACGCCAGATCACCCGACGCCAGATCACCCGACGCCAGATCACTGACACCAGATCACTGACACCAGATCAGAGCTACTCAGAGAAGCATGTGAACGCCATTGGTAAATCATTTTCATAAACCTCTTTAACTTTTTTTTGGTTTCACTTTTTTGGTGTCAAGTATTGTTTTCACTTCAGCAATAATCTGCCACGGGTCGTCTTTAAAATGAGACCGAGCTGAAGTCTGAGATCCCAAGCTTCACAATTGCATGACAGTTTTTGACAGACGTTTTTGCCCTCTATGGATCTGTGTAACTGACGCACAAGGGTTGCTCTTCTGTCCTCAGATGGAGATTAAGACTCATAGTCTCATAGCATTTAAGAGTTATGCCGAAACTGACATATGGACTAGAGTCTAGATCCCCGTTCACACAGCGCTGATTGCTAGAGTGCCTTCTGTGTGAACGCAAACACGTCCCGGGACCGGTGCCAGGATGGGGACCTAGTAACATCGCCGGGATGAATGCACTGTGTGAACAAAAGCCGGGAGCGGTGCCGTAAGGGCTGTGTCGTAGTGATGACGCACGACTCTGTTGCTCTAAGAAGAAAGTTTGTGTTCGTCAACAACAGAGAAAGCAGAGACCCGGAGCTCCTTCATATGCGCTGCAGCGGAGAGCGTTCGCCCGCTGTGTGGAGCGGGACGCCATGCGCTAGCGGACACGTTTTCATCCTGACGTCACGTGTCTTTACGGGGTGTGTGTGAACGCACTCACAGACATCACTGGGGCCATGCTTAAAAATATTCTTGTTTGCCGTAACCCGACCGACCCTGTCAAATTAGGACCGACCCAATTATTTATTTTTTTCCCCTTTTAGTCCGACCGACTTGCCGGTTGTAAACTTGCATTAAGACCGACCGATTTTTTTTTTTACTCTTCAAACAACTAATACAAATGCAATAAAATAATATACATTTATTATAGTAAGTATTGTGAATATAAATTGCGTAGGCTACGTTCTTTCTTTTAAATAAAAACCCGTGGCGTCATCTATTATGATTATGTTTACACCATTGGTTTACGCATGTCACACTATGGCCTGTGCGTTCGCTTCGTTTCATTCACTGTCAATGGTTCGCGCTCGGTGATGATGGCTGCGGCGCGGCTGCTTGTGAAATACGTCTGTATGAGCCTACATTTAGTCGCTCATTATTCAAAATTCTTAATGGTCAAATAGGGAATCGATGTTAACGGCCTTTTCTCGGAGCCCGTCCAGCTCGTCATGACATGCCCACCGCGAACGCGCGTCACACAGCAACTGCAGGCTCTGATAAACAAACACACATAAGTGTGGGAAGCCAAACACACCGAAAGGGGGACGAAACGGCGCGGTGTGTTACAGAGTTCGCGCTGCGCTGACTTGTAATCTGCGTGGCTCAATGGACCGAGACGCGCGAGCGCGACAGACTCGACAGCGCAGGAGAAGTGTTTGCTTGCGCCAGCCAATGGTCAGAGCGGCGCAAATTAATCTCACCAGCGCCGCGCTGACCAATAAAACAGCACATCCCATACCGAAATGTACTAAATTGCACAAAAGAAAATCGACCATTCCATAATATGTCAGGACTACTTAATCGGCCTATAGTTTCCTACAATGCGCCTAGCTATTTGACCACACTGATTTCCGTTAATAATAGCAGATGTTTATGGGTCAAATCTCTCACTCTCTCCCTGCAACTTTTTGTTACCCTCCTTTCCTGCCCCTAGACCAGAAAGGGGGCTTGTAACAGTTTGGGTCAAATGTAAACGAATGGTGCCAAACGCGCTGTTTTATTGGTCGGCGCGGCGCTGGTGAGATTAGTCATTTTAATTTATTTGTTTCCCTCTGAAAATCCACTTTCATTGAAATCTAGTGGCTCCTTTTTTTCTTTTGATTCTGCCTATTTTTTTCCAAATGAATGCAGCTGGAATTAATGCAATAAATATGTTTTTTTTTTTACAAAGATTTCAAATTGTTTGTGGTCTATAACCTGTATCAGAATGAGGTTCGCAATGGTGCGCCCGAAGGCATGGGGGTTGAAGACCCAGTCAGTGACGTCACGATATGCAAATTTGTTTAAATTCATACCGACCTAATCACCATGACCAAAATTATCCTTTTTTTTTTACATTGAATCTTGAAAAAAAAATATATAGACCTACCTACCGACCCTTTTTTTTTTTTTTTTGCTGTTACTGCAAACCAAAATATTTTTAAGGATGGCCTGGCAGTGTGAACGAACCAAAATCTAACGACATTATCAGCGTATCATCGACTGTGATCATCCTCATCCTCATCCTCATCATCATCATCATCATCACACACAGATGACCTCACCAGGTCCAGGTCCGGCGTCTGGGACAGCAGCTTCACATACGCCCCGCCACAGTCGATGCCCGTCTGGAAGTTCACCTCGTACCTGAACACACACACACACACAGCTTTACTAGCATCCTCACACTGCAATAACTGGCTTCATAAGCACATGTCATTCTCAGGAGATATCTATGTACTGTAATATTGAACACACATAAAAGCATGACTTTGATTTGTGAATTTCCAGCTACACTAAAGCGTTCTCCTTCCGCTAGCCCCATCCGGGGTGCGCGAGTACTCACTGCAGGATCAGGGGTTTGGTGTCAAAGGTGAAAGGTCGCAGGAGGAGACCGGAGATGGCGTGATGCTTGGCTTTGGACTTCAACACCAGGCCTTTGTCTCCCGGGAGTTTAGTGTTCTGCATCTCCTCAACCTCCCATTTCCCTACACACACAAACACACCCCATCAGCTCACACACACACCCCATCAGCTCACACACACACCCCATCAGCTCACACACACACCCCATCAGCGGACACACACACACACACCCCATCAGCTCACACACACAGCAAATGTGTGTATGTTCAGGGCAGCTCACAGAAGCTCAAACTATCTAAACACGTTAAAGCCATGAAGTCTGAAGCACTGTTCTGGGATGTTCTTTTATTATTCAAAGGTTGAGTTTAGTTGTGCGGATACTGAACTACTCATTTTAGATATCCCCAGTTTTGTACATTACAATTTTTTGTGTGTGTTTTATCATCTAGACATATTAAGACTTTAGACCAGGGTTTCTCAATCTTGGTCCTGGAGGGCCACTGTCCTGCAGAGTTTAGCTCCAACCCTGATCAAACTCACCTGAGCAAGCTAATCAAGGTCTTCAGGATCAGTAGAAACTCACAGGTAGGTGTGTTTGATCAGGGTTGGAGCTAAACTCTGCAGGACAGTGGCCCTCCAGGACCAAGATTGAGAAACCCTGCTTTAGACAAACAGATGGAAATTAAACATCATATTGATCTCACCATCATACTTGGCTATCTCCTCATCGATGCCGTCCTTCTTGGCCTGAGACAGAACCCACCTAGAGGAGACCACAGTCAGCCACCCAGCGCACACGCTACACACACCAGCTCCTGGGCGGCACGCTACACACACCAGCTCCTGTACGGCACGCTACACACACCAGCTCCTGGGCGGCACGCTTTACACTACCGGCTTACTCTCACAGGAATTAATACTTTTATAAATGCTGTTCTTTTGAACTTTCTATTCATTAAAGAATCCTGAATAAAATGTATCATGGTTCAAGTTTTCAACATTAATAATCATAAATGTTTCTTGATCATCAAATCATCATATTAGAGTGATTTCTGAAGGATCATGTGACACTATTCACATATAAAACAGCTGATTTACATTAGAATAATATGTAACAAAATTACTGTTTGAACAGCTGTAATATATATTTATAACAAATATACTCTTTTTATGTTGTGAGGATGACGGACATCTTACCCCTGAAGTGTTCCTTTATCAAATGACTCGGCAAAGTAGTGCTCTCCCATCGGCTCCGGGGCTTTATACGTCACCTTCGGGAACACGTGTGGGAAGATGTTAACATGGTTACTCTCTGTCTTATATATATATATAAACCACATTTGAGAAAGAGCTGTGTTGCAGGAAGGAAATAAATCTGGACTGAAGTACATTTTTATGTGAACTGGCCCTTTAAGTGACTTGATCAATGATTGGCAGATCAAACACCTCAACCAATCACAGACCGCCTCTGCTTCGCTCAACAGAACAAAAGGAGTAGTTCACTTTAGAATTACAATTTCCTGATGATTTACTCGCCCCCGCGTCATCCAAGATGTTCATGTGTTTCTTTCTTCAGTGGAAAAGAAATGAAGGTTTTTGAGGAAAGCGTTCAGGTGTTTCTCCATATAGTGACTTCAATGGGGTCCAACGGGTCGAAGGTCCAGATGTGAGTTTCAGTGCAGCTTCAAAGTCTCGACACGATCCAGCCGAGGAATAAGAGTCTGATCTAGACAAACCAGCCGACATTTATAACAAAATACACATTTATATACTTTTATCCACTAATGCTGGTCTTGCACTCGCTGTGATGCGACACACATTACGCAATCAGGGTGAAAATGTGTTTGTTTTGCCGCCTGTCTATTTTCAGCATCCGCTCATATGCGTACAAACGATTGTTGTTATGCACTGGGCTAACGTTAGTTAGTCACCGAACTAAACTGCCAGTGTGAATGCACCCTCAGTCACTTAGTTGGCGAATTCCAAGCTAGCAGTTACTAACGTAAACAAACAGGCGCTAACGTGTATAAAGGCTACTTCAACAGCTTACTTGAAAAGTCTAGGGTGCTTTCACACCAACTCGGATCGGAACGGGCACGGTTCGCATGAAAAATCGCTAATTATGTAAACGCTGTCTGTCATGCGGACCCGGGTGCGCACTGGGGTACCAAACCCGAGACTGCCTGGAGGAGGTGCGCTGAGTTCGGTTGCACTCGAACCGTGCCGCGGCTCGCGTGAATTTGAAAGCATCACGGACTCGGGTGCGCACTTGTTTGTATTTGTATTTAGTTAAATAAAACACATGTAAGGGATGATAGTGTTGATAATTTACCTTGGACAAGAGCGAGAGTGAGTCTGTATTCGCACACACATAGCGCGTGGACTCAGGGCAACAAATTAATGGAAATCCACTGTCTCCTGCGTTTGCAATCAGCAAAAAGCCAAATGCGACACACAGTAAACCGGTGTTGTTCACTCAGCTGTGCATAATAGCACCAAAAAAACAAACACAATATATTGACCGCGTTCTGTTTTCTATCATGCATCGTGCACGTTTGCGATGACATAAGATGCACGGAAACGCACCAGGATTCGATAGAATCAAGTTTAGAACTGTATGCAGTAACTGTTATATTTGCTGTTCTATTTGCAGTGCATTGAGCACAACATACACATTATGTGAATAGAATACTGTTCCTGTATTCTCAATAAAAGGCAAATTATAAACTTTTTTTTTTTTTTTTTTTTTACTTAATAGATATCATGTAAAAATATAGATTATTGAATCGTATCGAATCGTATCGCGGGGAATTATCGAAAATATCGAAAATAATCGAATCGTTGGCTTAAGAAATCGGTATCGTATCGAATCGTCATGTAGGCTCCGATTTACACCCCTAGACCCCATTGAAGTCACTATATGGAGAAACACCTGAACGCTTTCCTCAAAAACCATCATTTCTTTTCCACTGAAGAAAGAAACACATGAACATCTTGGATGACGCGGGAGCGAGTAAATGAACCACTTCTTCAAGCATGAAGGCGGCTTTGGTGGTTCAGGCGAGTAACGCTCTTACCGTGGGAACCGGTGGTGTGGTCGGGGCCGTCGGCGCCTCTTCCTCGAGCTCTTCCTCATGCATGTCGTCGATGGCATCTTCCACGTCCATGTCCATGTCGTCGGCCTCGTCCTGAGCGCTCACGCGACCCGCGAGGAGCACACACACACTCAGAGACACCAGCGCCACACACAACCGCATCTTCAGCTCCATAGTCTGCGCACACAAGATCAACACATCACACAGGCCTCTTTCATAACCAATATATATATAACCATAGACAAGCCAGCTTTATTTCTACAGCGCTTCATACAGTACAGAGTGATACGAAGCAGCTTTACACGGATAAACAGGAAAATGACTTCAGTTCTGCTGCAAAGCCACTCTTACAACACAATAGTTCAATGTTGATTCAGTTCAATAACTGTGTAAAGTTAACCAGCTTTAGTGGAGGGCAGATCGAGGCTTCGTGAAACACTGAAAGCTAATGTGCTGTATAGTGCCGAGGCTTCGAAACACCCCGACACCGTCTCCACGCTGACCCCTAGTGGCCGAACAGTGGAACTGCAACGAACACCCGGGCCAAACATGCAGAAAAACACCTTTTACAAATCTAGATAATTTTTTATTGAAAGTAAAAGTGTTTGAACCGTTATGATGTAATGAAGCCTCGGTTACTGGAGTCACGTGACACAGTTTGATACACGCGCCGAACCACTGACCTGGAACAAAAGATTTGTGAAGGTTTCGACGCTTCATGAAGCAGTGTTTCGAAAATGCCATCGCTAACCAGCGCTAGTATAACCAGCTCTACAGAAGACAGATGTCAGCTCAATCAGTGCGGTCAAAGGCCATAATAATACTAATCTCGACTCAGAATCAGTTCCTCTTGCAGCATCTCTTCTCTGATGATGGGGGCGGGGCTATAACCTGTCACTCACATGAGATCAGCCAATAGCAAACCACAACCGTCCAATCAATTCCACACAGACACAATCAAGCCCCGCCCACATGTGTTCTTGTTCCTGAAGCGTTTCACTCGATATACGACACAATAGACCAGTTTTGTGTTTGTAAACAGCGATGATGTGTTTTGTGGGCGGGGCCTGGTGGCAGAAAGTGACAGCTCTGTACTAGCGGTGTCAGGTTTCAGCGATTCAGACCATAAGAATATGGATCATCCGGACGCTTTCAAATTATTTTAATGGTTTGCCAGTAGAAGATCGAAACGAAAGACAACCTCAGTCATTAAGTTGCAACGCCAATGACATTATGTGGCCCAAAGTTTATGCTCAGTCATGATGTACAGTAAATCATATCACACATATAATATTACTGTACTAAATGATTGAATATATACTGAATGATGTTACAGCTAAACTGTCTATGAGCAATTTGGTTTGTTTACGTTACATCAGAGCCCGTCTACGTAGAGCCTGGCCACTCCCTATCAAGTCCTATTGTACCGAATTGTGGTTGTAGTTCCACCAGAGCTCCACTGGGGGCGATCGCCGAGTGCGTGAGTGAATGCGAGTCTATGGAGCTAGGCGGCTAAATGTGTCTTTCACCAGATTGCCGTTGAGAAATCTCAGATTTGATTGTAGGTTTTGCAAGTTCAACATGGGTTATAGGTCGAAAGTTGAATGAACGAGTACTTATGTCCTTTCCATTTCTTACAGGTTGAGTTGTTGCCCATAACACGCTAGCATTCTGCTAATGGACGCTGATTGGTCAGTGAAGGACTGATTACGACCAGAGACACCGCTTGATGGCATCGTGGCATCCGGACCAGAATGTTAAGAACTTTAGTTTTACAGAAACTCTTCTAGCACGTGTGTTTACCTGTGTCCGCTGCCTCGAGAGAACAGAAAGTGCAGTGCGCGAACGCACCAGTGACTGAAGGATTGCCGTAAAGCAGTATCTCTGGTCGTAGGATGTGCATGACGTCATTGACATTTTAAAAGACTTAAAGCAAATAAGTGACTCTAAAAAAATCTAACACCCAGCTATGTGTAATTTCTTTGCATCTCCTTTCGAAAACAACATTCAAATTACTAGACAACAAATTATATGCTGAGAAAAGTGGATTTTTAGGGGTATATCTCCATAGACCTCCATTCATTCTGCACTCGTCCTGTGAGCGCCCTCATGTGGAGCCAGAGTGGAACTGCAGCCAGTTCAGGAGCCGGGCGTTTACTGGGACCCTGTCCCAAATGGAACCCTAAGCACTCGCGGTCTTCCTCTGAGTCCGCACTTTTGCCACGTAACGCCGCTTTGAATGTCGGGAAGAAGTCTGCTGTGGAGTCCGCATCAGCGCCGGCTCGGCAAAAGTGCGCATCAAGGGCGCAAATCGACCGCAGAGGGGAGCACCCTTCTGAGATCTAAAAATGACAAATGGGACACACTGCGGTCTCACGGACTTAACGGACACGCGCACGCGGCAGCCATTGTAAGTCCACAAGACCGAAAGTGCACATGAAGTGTGCCATTTGGGATTGGGTCTGGGAGTGGCAGTTCTCCCCTTATTAGACACTCTCTGGTTACATGCTACTTCTAACACGCTAACGTAAGCACGCTAACATAATGAGATAGCCTACTGCTGTTACTAACTTACCCTTCTTAACCAATACCTCATTGATTTTGCCTTTGCATGTGATACAGTGGAGAAAACCTCACCCGATATCCGTGGATTTATTTTTTTATGTTAATTGAATAATAGCTGATGTTTGAACGTTAATCAAGTAAAAGTGTCTATCACGTTAAGTCTGTTATTTTGTTGTAACGTTATCCGTTGTCTAGGCAAATATGTCACATAATACAATAGTATTTATTTAGCTAGCGTTTAGCTAACCCGAGTGAAAACAGCACGGGGTGAAGCCATGTACATTAACGACGATTTCAGACAAATAAATGTACATTTACTATAAAACTATGCAAATGGCGCTCTGTGGCGCGGCAGGGTTTTGAACAAGGTCCTGAGCCGTAGCGGGGCGCCGCGGACAGACGCCGAATGGCGCCGCCGGTGTGTGTACACTCAGAGAATAATGTGTTTGAATTTTAAAAGACATGGCGCTGCGCGACGCGTCCGGTGTGCGACCCCCTTAAGACTCCGCCACCAATTCAACACGCTCAAATCCACACAGTGAACAAAACCACACTAACATTATTCGTAGCGAGTCTACTATCCAATAACCACAAACTTGGTTTCATAGTAAAAAAGCACAAAGCCTACCTGAGGCACTTTCAAATGAATCAAATGGAATCAAGAGTCAGGGAATCAAAAGGAATCAAGAGTCAGTGAATCAAAAGGAATCAAGAGTCAGTGAATCAAAAGGAATCAAGAGTCAGTGAATCAAAAGGAATCAAGAGTCAGTGAATCAAAAGGAATCAAGAGTCAGTGAATCAAAAGGAATCAAGAGTCAGTGAATCAAAAGGAATCAAGAGTCAGTGAATCAAAAGGAATCAAGAGTCAGTGAATCAAAAGGAATCAAGAGTCAGTGAATCAAAAGGAATCAAATCGTCTCTAATAATCACTGAACACATCAGGACTTCCTCATTAGCAGGACATATGAAGTGAACTTCCCGTCTTACAGTTGTTAAAACATTGCTTTAGCACTAAAAGTGTTACTGGAGGGCGGCTCACTCAGTGAACATCCACTCATGAACCGAATCTTCAGAGCAAGTCTGCAAAACCACAAGCACTTTACATGCTTTACACTCAGTTTGCTATTGTAAAAAACATTTTGCAAAAATAATTTGTAGTTTGGGGTGTGTGTGGCTAATCATTTGATGTTTGCGTGTAGAGTCACACTACACAAAAATAGCATTTTTAGAAGAGTTAATATAGTTTTGAAAAAAGTGTTTGCTTATGAAACAGATGTGACGTTTTGCATGTTGTGAGTGTGGAGTTTGGAGAAAAGAGAGCCATAGTTTAAAAAAAGTGTGTGTTCATTGATGTAGAACGGACGGCAGTAGAAGTCCTCCCGCAGACACATTTCTCTGGTCTTATTGATGTAAACGCCGGCCTGTGGTTGCCATCCCATAGTGCCCGAGAGTCCAGTCGCCACGGCGACGGCAGAGAGGCGGAGCCCTGCAGCATCAGCCCCTTTTCTTTAATAAGGTTTACCACAATCAGATTACACAAACAACCGGTGCGCGCACACACACACTCACATGCAAACACACACTCCTCTGTAAACTAACCGGCACTTCACCAGAACATGTGTTTCTGCTGGATAAAGCAGTCGTCTCTCCTTACAGCAATCAGCATCATTACAACTGAGCGAACAGAAGCCGGTCTAAATACTCTAATGACCAATATGAGCTCAATCTCAGTCCAGTCTCCAGTGTGTGTGTGTGTGTGTGTGTCCTCAGGGGCATCTGAAGCCCTCATCAGGGTGCTGCTGTTAAACACACACACATCGCTGTGCTAATGAGCTCAACACACTCAGGATTACTCACACACTGAACCTGTGCAGCAACATCACCATGGCACACAAAACACAACACACACACACTCCTCCAGCCTTACACACACTGCTGTGTTGATGAGGGATGAGTGAAGCTAGAATAAAGTTATTATTATTATTTAAAAGCAGCACGATTGTGGATAAATTGAGAATCACATTTTTTGTTTCTAAATAATTTTGTTAAATATTTAGTAAATTTAGATTTTTAGAGTGACTGATTCAATGACTCGCTCATAAAGTGTTCACTTGTCATTACTGGATGAATCAGTGTTTTTTAAACAAATCTCTTGAATGATTCAATAAGAAACACACGTTTGAACAGTCGCTTGCCGCCACCTACTGGTGTAACGAGGCAATCGCAGGGCTTTTCAGAGTTTAAAGGCAGATTTTTGCTCCTAAGTGAAAACAGATCGTTAATTGTGGTTTTAAACGACTCGTTATTGTCAGAACATGACAAACACTTCATGTTTTTGAATTCTTTACACTTTTCCAGTCATTTATAACGGAGTTTCATTACGCGTTTGGTGCGTAAACATTACACTAAACATTTATCGAACTCTCGTTATCGATTTATCGAGGAAAATTAAATCACGATAATTATCATGATCGTTTCATCGTTGTAATCGACATCAGTGTTTATATCTGAACTATAAACTTTTATCCCAGCACTTCTGTGATAATCTCAATGATTATAAGACAGAAATAATGAAACTGAGGTTGAAAAGCCTGTTTGTGAAGCGGTTTCACATCTACACATGACGACGGCTCTCTGGATCAGAACACAGATCTGAACGTTCCTGTGATTAAAGGTTTAATAGACATAAGAGCCGAATCGCTGTCATTTAGGAATAAGATCGAGTGTGTGTTTGAATCAAGATTGCAACTCTAGGCTCCGTTCTTTCTTTTTTGGAGGCCATGAAAGATTTGTGGATATGATCAAATGCAGGCAACTTATAAATAAAACGCTGGCGGGGAAAGAGTTAAACCTCACCGAACTGACCAGAGAAACTGGCTTGAAGCTGATGTTTAAGAACAGGACCTTGAGTTGAGGATCTCTGGGGTTTCACAGCGTGTGTGTGTGTGTGTGTGTTGTGGTGGGGTCGGGGGTCACAGGATCCAGTCCTGACCCATCTGTTGCTCATCTGTGGGGGACGAGCGATTACACAACACCAGCCCTCCACCATCAGCACTGAGAAGCTAATCTGGAGAGAACATTAGCATGAGCTGAACCAGCGCAAGACGCCAGCAACATGGTGTGTGTGTGTGTGTGTGAGAGAGGCGTGGCTTGTCGGACACAGCAACCGTAAGGGGGCGGGGCTTTGCGAACAGTCAATTAATTCAGCGAGAGATAATCAGAATTTGACACAAGTGGCCACTAACACTTCAGTTGATCGTCCACCATCAGGCGCTTAACCCGCCGGCACACTCATTACTCGCGCGGCTCTGGCTAATCACACACGACAGGGGCGAGGAGACGCTCAGCGGAGCCGACTGACAGTGAGCGTCTCCAGACCAGGGAGATCTGCTGATTACACACGCCTGCTCCATTAGCCATCGCGCTCAGCGGACGCGCTCACACGGGTTAGCATAGCGCCCGGACGAAACCCCTCCTGTAGAGCTGGCCCACATCACTGTCTTCACCACTCTTTATCATGAGTCTTTCATAACGCGCTGACCAGCACAGCCAAGCTAATTTCCCTGTTTTAAACATTTAGCCTTAAAAAAAAAAAAAAAATACAGATCATACAGTCCAAAGTAGAGGCCAATCTGAAAAATATCTTTGTTATTACGAATAAGAGTAATAGGACAACAATATAAGAAACAAATGAAATGAGCAGTGCATTAATATTTTCAGCTACACTAGGTGTGTTTACTCAAGTAATACACAAACGTAAAAATAAAACACTGGATTAAATAGACACCGATTCTCATTAAAGTTACTCAGTCGAGAGCAGTGAGTGATTCTCTTTGTCGTGTGCTTAACATTATAAACAGGAATATTAGGCTACTGTCACTTTAAGAGTGAATGCACTGATCTAATATACTGATACACGTGTGAAATGTTTACATTTACTTAAGATATTAATGACTGTTTATCTAAACCATGTGTGTGTTTAAGCTCAACAAGACGACGCTGAAGTTCAGCATTAATGCACTTTTAGTGTCGGCGCTCAGGAAAGCTCATGCCAGAACAGCATTAAAGAGTAAACTGGCACGTCTTTAACCGGGACATGTCATGTAAATCTGGCTTTCCCCGTGTGTAAGTGCTGTAATCGGGTCCGGTGCTTCTACCTACCCTGAAAACATGACAAGACAAGTGAAACCCAGTACCTGTGTTCTGGTGAGCCTTTCTCTGCAAGCGTGTCAATAATAAGCCGATCAGACTTCACTCAGGAAGAGGATCTTATTATAATATTCCCAGCCGTTAATCTGCACGTTTACACACACGGCACGACATTCGGATCCGCGAGCGCCAGCAGAGACCAGTTCTAACGCAACCGCTCATTTGCATTTAAAGGGACACACACAACCGGCGTGTTTTTGCTCACACCCAAAAAGGGGCAAATTTGACAAGTTATAATAAATGATCTGATATTTTGAGCTGACACTTCAGGCACATTCTGGGGAAAAGCACAGATTTATATTACATCTTGTGAAAAGGGGCGTTTCATCACCTTTAAAGCGCATGCTTTCAGGCTAATACAAGACTTGATCTCCATATTGACATTGCTTCTGTATTACAACTGGACAATTGTCCATTATATTGTTTGTTTAAACACCCAGTGCTTGTTAACCGAGGGTCCAAACGGGGGTGCGTTCAGCTCGGCACCCAACACACACACACACACTTCCAGACACACGGTTAAGCCTCTTTACACTCGACTGCACACACAGATCTGGGCTCGAGTCGATGGGGGAAGGTACCACTGGCCTTCCTCACACACAGCCTTCCCAGAGTGCACCAGTGAGGCGTGACTCGAGCAGGACACAGGCCATAAAAGTGAACAGATAAAGCCCTGTAGATAATTGGCGTGACCCCGTTCACAGAGGAACAGTGTCGCACTTCTAGAAAAGAGTTCACACCGAGAATGACATCCTTGGGTTAAAGATATAGGTCAAAGTTGAGCCAGAATCTGAAAACACAGTTACATGTTAACAAGGGGTCACGACGAACATTTCCTTGCTGGGATGAATTGCATGATTCCTCACACACACGGAAATAAGACGACTTGTGTTTTAATCAGACCAAACCTCATTAAGTCTCTCTCGCGTGACCTTCTCCCCTACAGGCCGGAAGTGACGGGTTAACTGACATGTGCTGCTCTAGTTTAGCCGGTTTGGCTTTTCCGTGTTGTATCCCTCCCACAGCCATGCTTTCCAGAAACATCCATGCATTACCTCAAACTGAAAGCAAAAGACTGTGTGTGGAGTGATATTTGATCACTGTATGCGAGACTAATCGATATGAACCGGCTCTTTAACACCTGCATCTAACTTTAGATACAAATACGCGTTTATATGCAGACGCGAGTCTTCAGGGGAAGATGGATTAGCCCAAGCCTCACATATAATGATTTACAGCGCATATATCACACCAGTCAGCGCTGGTTCGACTAACTTCATTCACTGGAGTAAATCTCTGCCAGCAGCTCCGACATTAGACACGAGCACGGCTTTCATCTTGCTCCTCTCACGATCAAATCACACTCTTAACCACATGAAACAGGTTTCAATGACGAGTTCTGGTTTTTTGACATGACACCTGCATCTGTTAGCTTAGCTCAAGCGGCTAGCTGACCAACTAGCCTTTAGGTCAACGCACTTACTCTCCTTTTTACCCTCCGTATATCCCCGCTCACTTGCAAGAACCCATCGTTAAACCCTCTGCAGGTGAGCAGAAAGGCATACAGGTGTGTAAAGCTGGTGTTTGAGGTGTAGTGTACTCACCCGTGCTCACCGATACAGCTCTCCGCCTGCGACTACAGCGCGTCACGTGTGGCTGTGGACGATGAATCCCCACACACAGGCCCCGCCTCCCGCACGATCCGATTGGCCGCTCAGTTCAGCGTGGGCACGCCTCTTAGAGCTTGAGCGATGATGATTGGTCAGGTTTGACGTCTGTCACAGACTGTGGGCTCCGCCTCCGACCTGCACCTCGTGGACGCCGCTGATTGGCCGAGGCGTACACGGAAATACACGCTCATTGGATACATCACAGCAGAAGCGAAAGATGACGGATTTAATGTGAGGATCGCTTCATGTCTAGCTTTCAAAAATGTTATATTCAGTATTTATTTCTTACTTATGACATGCCTTATCATAAGGAATATTATTTAATCAATCTAATACTTCTAATATCTACATTTAGTGCATAGCCTACATGTAAAAATGTGGGTAATGAGCATTTTTATTAAGTGTTTTTATATTTACATTTAGTCATTTAGCAGACGCTTTTATCCAAAGCGACTTACAAATCAGGACTAAATTAAAGCGAGTCACCGTGAGAGGCACAACCAACGCAAGAAGTGCTTAAAATACAAAGTGCAGGCATTTCCCAGAGTAGCATCAGCCAGACGAGGGAGGGTTAAGGGTTAAAAATATTAAAAACATTAATATTTTACAAACTGTTAGTGTTTGTAAACTTTTTATTGAACTTTAATTCTATCTTTTGATTTTATTTTATTGTTTGTTAGTTTGTTTTGTTTATAATACCTTTTTGGCTGTATTTGTAAGTCTTTAAAACAAACGCATAAAAAAAAGAAAGAAAAATATGAGTAATATTTATATAACAATCAAACACCCACATGCTGGAGCTACATTACATTTTATTATAGCATTCAAATTTTTTGATGAAATGTGTTTGTCTATAAAGGCTTCTGCCTAAATGTTTGAATTTGATAAAAAATATATATGTGGACAAATGTAATGCTTTCTTCTCTCTTTTGAGGATGATTGTGTCTAATACACGGAGAGCTACCTTAATTCTAGTACAAAAATCACCATAAAATCTTGTGTAAGCACTGGTATATTGAGATGTAAGTTTCACAGTGTGTGTATGGTAAATGGTTTATTGTTGTGCGAGTGAGAGTGAGCTCCAGTGTTCAGGACACACCTGTGTTTCATCATCATCATCATCATCAGTGGTGAGACCGGTATGGCGAGGCGTTTACTGTAAACACGGGTAACCTCAGAGAAACTGTGCTGGAGGGTCAAAGCCATTCAGACACAAGTGACTCGATTCTCATTAATATAGATTAGGATATGCTTGCTCAAACACTGGGGTGAGCGGGCACAGAGTAACGCGGGGCTAGTTGTCACACACCTGTTTTAAATACTTCCACACATGCATGAGGAAACTTGGTGTATTTACTAGTGGCCATATCAACACTATAGAGAAAAATGTGTGCCAAAATTAAAACATATTTTGGAAGATATCACTGAACATTTATTTAGCCACAGCACTAGTAAATTTCTGACCTATGTTACATTTTCATCTCTGTTTTTTTGTGTTTCTTTAAAATTAGACAAATCTGGTATTATTTTAATCTTATATGTGTTATTTAACAGGTGAGATAGTTGTTTAATGCGGATCTAACAGCAGAAACACTCGCCGGGTTTAAACCGGGGCATGTTGTCACACAGCGTATGAGCCCCTGTTAGAACTATGATATTATATTATATAGTACTTTTATTAATTCTATTGAGAAACCATGAGAAAAAGGTGAATATAGACTGAGAGTCAATGTTAAGAAATTATTCAATGTTATTATGTTTTGAACTGTATAGCTGTGTTTTGCAGTGTTTGTTGTCAAACTGAAAAATATGTTTATTTTTAAATTATTAAAAAATGCCATTATTTTATATGAAAAGTTCATTGTATTTTATTGAGATGATATTTTAGTTCGTCTTGTATATTTGTTTGATTAGATCAGATCATATTTGAATCTGTCATATGGTCATGTTATAATGAACCACACCTATGGGGCATGTTGTAAGTAAATCAAGAAAATAGTATACACTGTATTAATGAAACAAAACCACACTGAACTATAGACATGTGAAATTAATGAGGGGGAAAATAAATACTCACAACAATTTACACAAACTGAGAAAGTCTAAAAGTGTAAGGACTTTCTCTCCTCCTACTTTGCCGTTTAACAGCATATAAACACTGAAGTCAAGTTTGGACTTTGACTTTATTCAAAGTACATGTTAATCTGAGTTCATGGATGGCTAAACTAGAGAAACCGATGAAGCGACAGCGAAGAGCCGTCGCGAGTCACGTGACTGATGACGTCGCAGCGATGCTGAGGGTCACGTGGTGTTTCTCTCTCTAGGCTTGTTCGACTTCATGCAGCTCTGCGCAGACCGATCGGCGGCAGACTTGAAGCAGTGCATGCCGGTTAGAAATTTTGTCCGACTTGATACAGCGCCGACGCCACGTGACTGTGACGTATGCCATCAAAGTACCGCGAGAGCGATTCGAGAGTAGCCGGAGAACTCAGCCAGCGCAGCTTCTCAAGAGCGGCTGCAGAGGGGCTTCCGGGCAAGATGGCAAACTGAGCACACGGTAACCCAGAGCTCCGTTTGTTTGTCCCCAAAACTCGCAGACTAGTCCTTCTTTCAATAATTAAAAATTACACCAACACAACTACGTGGATACGTGACCCATTTGACTTACTCAACGCGAGTTCCAGACTCTGAAATGCCGCTTTCTAACAAGATGAAGAAAGCTACTGCAGCAACTGCACTTCTCCCTCATGATTACTGCGCTGATGCCGACGACGATAACGACATGGAAACCTCCTCCACGAAGGTGAGCCGTTCTCCTCCCGACTCCCCTACTAAAATACCTGTCCCGTTTAAGAAATCTAAAAACGAAGCAGAGGTATCCAATGCTACAATACTTGAAGCTGTTAACAACCTCTCCACCATGTTACAAGAACTCAATGTGCAAATGAAAAACAATAGTGTCATGATTGCACAAGTGGCCAAAAGCGTGGAGTTTAATGCCAAAGAAATAAAAGACTGCCAATCCAAAACTCAAACTTTGGAAAAGGAGATGAAAAGGATTGGGACAGAGAACGTCGCTTTACAAGAAAGAGTCATTGAACTAGAGCGTTACAAACGGCGCTGGAATCTGAAACTGCGCGGGATGAAAGAGCAAGAAAATGAAAACACGAGAGAGAGGGTGTTACAGATCCTACTCAAAATCGCTCCGCATTGGGCTGACAAGATGGACAGTGTCGTCGACTCTGTGCACCGCCTGGGCAAAAGAGAGGAAGCTAAACATCGGCAAGTGATAATGCAGTTCACCATGAGGCACTACCGAGATGAGCTCTGGCGTCTGACCAAGAGATCTGCAGTGTGCAAGGAGCTGAATATAAATTTCGCCGAGCACATCCTACCAGCCGACCGGGAGGCAAGAGCAGCCGTTTGGCCTCAGATTAAGCAGGCCAGAGAAGCAGGTCAGCGGGCCTACTTCAGGGGCCCAACTGGATACATAAATGGGAAAAGAATTGTGGTTCCTTAACCACACTCTCACATCGGTTCACCTACATCTCACTGTCTAACGTGAAGAAATTTGTTTACATTTCTATGAAGGACATCTAAGTTGACTGTTCTTAAGGGGACGCTGCCTTATGTTCACATTCTAAAGCAGTTTTCTCCTGCTGATATACCTCGGGTTGTTTTTCTTAAGTGGTAAGTTACTGTTTAATGTTCACTGTTGATTCTAATTTCTGTTTCATTTCATTCAATGCAAGGGGCCTTAGAGACAGCATCAAACGAAAGGCAATTTTCCTTTTCTGTAAAAGCAAGAAACCACACTGTGTCCTACTGCAAGAGACTCACTCGACTGATACGGATGAAAAGTTTTGGTCCAATCAGTGGGGTGATAAAATTTTATTTTGTCACGGAACTAATCGTTCTGCAGGTACTGCTGTCCTTCTGAACAACTTTCCTGGGAAAATTGTGACATCCAAAAAGAGCACAGATGGTCACTGGATTCTATGCGTTCTTTCAATCAAAGATTATTTTATTATCCTTGGAAATGTCTATGGTTATAACAACATAAACCAAAACAAAAATCTACTCTCTGAAATTGATGATCTCGTTAAAAATTTGAAATTACGTTATCCAACTACTAATATTATTTTAGGAGGAGACTTCAATATGGTATTTAATGAATGGTTAGACCGCTCACCCACCAAGTTTCATAACCATCACTATAACCCTCATTTAGTCAGTTTTTGTAACACTCATAATCTCTCTGACCCATGGCGCTATACACACCCCAACTTAAAAAACTTCTCTTGGTTTAAGCCGGATGGTTCAATCAAATCAAGGATTGACTTTTGGTTAATCTCTGACAGTGTAAAAGACTTTGTAACTGACTGCTCTATATCTTCTGCTCCCCTATCTGACCACTGCTATATTAATCTCACCCTGAAACCCAGTAATAATCACAAACGAAACAAGGGTTATTGGAAACTCAATGCCAGCCTATTACAATCTGAAACGTATTGCCAAGGGGTTAAAGACATAATTTATGAAATTACTCAAGACTCCAACCTTCTGTCTTATAGCTCCAAATGGGAATTTTTAAAATTCAGAATAAGAAACTTTTCAATTTCTTTCAGCAAACAATTGCAACAATCTGCCCTTTTAGAGGAGACCAATTTGACAAGAGAGATAAGTCTCTGTTGTAATAAACCCACGCTTACGGATACTGACAAAAGGAAACTACTTACTCTACAAACCAAATTAGATAATATCTATACAAGAAAAGCAAATGGAGCCTTCATCAGATCCAGAGCAAAATGGATCGAGGAAGGAGAAAGAAATTCTTCTTATTTCTGTAGATTAGAAAAAACTCGCCAGGAAAAAAATAACATAGGAACACTGGTCATTAATGAAAATGAATGCTCTGATCCTAAAACTATAACCAATAAAGTTTATTCCTTTTACAGCAACTTATATTCTTCTAGTTTCTCAGCGGATGCAACTGAGGCCTTCTTTAATAAAATCAGAGATTTTATTCCCCAA